AATTTTTTGTTTAAATATTTATTTTTTAGTTCTCGGCGGACACAACATCTTTGTTGGTATGTGGTGCTGAGGATCGAACCCGGGCCGCATGCACACCAGGCGAGCGTGCTACCGCTTGAGTGTGGCAGCCATTTTGTGCCATGAAGTAATAAGCATAAAGACAAGAATGTGCAGAGGAGGCTGAGATGGTCCATGTTTGCATTGCTCAGCTTCTGCTCTAGCCTTAAACATCCACCTGTCACTTTCCTATGTACACTTCGGTGTGTGGTAACAGACATGTGCACTCCTTCCCACAAATGCTGGCCACTTCTGTTAGTAGTGGACACTTCAGAGTTTAGAAAGGGGAGCAGCGCCCAGGGCGGAGCGCTTGTGGAGGCCTGCAGACCCTGGGCGCCCTCCCTGGCCGCTCAGAGGGAAATTACTGTTACTGTTGAATAAATTTATGACCTCTGCATGGTTTAACTTCAGGATTGATGTCAGCAGATTAAATGATTAAAGGCAATACCCATAGTTTTTTTTCTCTAGAAATAAATGACTACAAAAGAGACCAAGGAAATAGTCTAGTTATGCTATTAACAAAAATCATATTTAGTATAAACTTAATGAGAAAAACCTAGGATTTATGTGAAGAAAATTATAAAATCTAATTGAAGCCAGGCACAGTGGCGCATACCTGTGATCCCAGCGGCTCGGGAGGCTGAGGCAGGAGGATTGCAAGTTTAAAGCCAGCAAAAGCAAGGCACTAAGCAACTCATTGAGACCCTGAGTCTAACAAAATGCAAAATAGGGCTGGGGGCGTGGCTCAGTGGTTGAGTGCCGCTGAGTTCAATCCCCAGTACCCAAGGAAAAAAAATAACAATCTAGTTGAAGAATAAACAGGAGACTTCTGCTTCTAACCCAAATGGAGAAACAGATTTCCTTTCCTGCAACAACAAAAGATAGCTTACGTGAAACAAGAGTTTTCAAAATGCCGGAAGTGAGACAGAAGGACAGTGATTCCCGAGGAGAGCCGCAGCTTCTTTTGTTTGGAGAGCTTCCAGGCTGTGGCACACAGAAGCCGGTGGAGTCCCTTAGTTGAGATAGAGCTAGAAAGTCTAGGAAGACCAGGGTGGTGAGAGCTAAGGGCAGGCCAGCTGCACAGGGGGGCAACACAGAGAACGCACAGGAGGCCCCTACGTGTAGGTAGAGTGTGGGTCTGCTGTGTATAAAAGGAGTTTCCTCTCCTGAGACAGAACCACCTGAAAGGATCAGAGGGATCAGAACTTGGCATTTGTGAGGGGCCAGGAATAGTGTTTTTTCCATCCGGCGAAATAGAAAATCTCATATTCAATGGGTGTGTGAGGCCAATTCCATTACTGTAACAAGATACCTGAGACAATCAGCTTATGAAGAGGAGAGGTTTATTGTGGTCCACAGTTTGGAGGTTTCAGTACATGGTTGTAGACCCATTGCTTTTGGGCTCATGGTGGCTGGACAGTGCAGGAGAGGAAGAGGAAGACACCAGGGTTCCTCAAACATCTTCTAGGGCACATCCCCCATGGCCTAGGGTCCTTCTAGGTCCTACCTCTTGGTGGTTCCACCCAGTCCCACCAGGGGCAGCAGACAGGCCTTTCACCCGTGGGCTTAGGGGGGACACGTATCCGATCCGCAGCAACGTGGCATTGAGTGACTAGTGAGAGGTTCCTGCCTCTGGAGAATAATGAACCTGGTGAACTCTGCTTGGGTCTTGCAAAAGACAAATCTTAACAGACAACACGGGGAGGAATCAAACGGTCCCCATGCAAGTCAGTGCACTCCAGAACCAGGGTCAGATGACCCTGAGAAACCCAGAGACGGTCAGTATGTGATAGCACGAGATCCTCCACGCTCAAACGGGAAAGAGGAAGCGTAAATCACCCTTCAATCTAATCTAACCAGAACTGACACAGGCCTTAGAACCCATGGACAGGAATCCAAAATTACGACTGTACCCGACGAGGTCGAGGGGTGGAGGACTCGGGCACAGAGGGTCACGCCTGCAATCCCAGTGACGTGGGAGGACCAGGCAGGAGGATCACAGATTGAAGGCCAGCCTCAGCAACTTAACAAGGTCCCAAGTAACTTAGCAAGACCCTGTTGCTAAAGTAAAAAAAAAAAAAATAGAGTCGGGGATGAAGTCAAAATGCCTCTTAGTTCAATCCCATAAAAGACCCACATTGAGCTTCTAGATGAGGCAGCCCCAGCGTGTGAGATGGAAAACCCACTGCCCGCTGGACGGACCCAAGCAGGTGACACACACGCCACAGGGCAAGGCTGGTGGGAGGGCGAGGCCGTGGAGACACAGAGACAGGAACCACCCAAAACTAAACAGGAGGCAGAACGGAAACCCAGTCGGGGCGGCGGGGCTCCACACAGACGTGGGGCTCC